GAAAAGAAAAAAGAGGGGGAAAAAGGAAGGAAAGGAGGAAAGAAGGAAAAAGAAAGAAAAAGAAAGGGAAGGAAAAAGAGGACAGAAGGAAAAGAAAGAAAAAGGAAAGAAGGAGAAAGGAAAAGAAAAAAGCAAAAAAGAAAGAAAAGGAAAAGGGGGAAAGGAAAGGAAAAGAACGGGAAAGAAAAGAAGGAGAAAAAAATCAGGGAGGCCCAGAATTGGGGGCGTCCAAAGTTTCCAGGAAGCGGGGCCGGATTTCAATGCCGGGGTCTCCCTGTGACTCGATTGGGGGAGGGGGCGGAAGGGGAAATGCCGGCGGGGGATTCTGGGAGTTGAAGTCCGGCCTCTTCAAGGCGCCCAGGTCGAGCAACGGGGCTCCAGGAGGGCAGGCGGAGCGACCCAGCAGAGAAGCCCCACCCTCCGCCCCGCCTCCTCGGGGGCGGGGACTCCAGCGCCTTCTTCCCGCAGTCGCTCGCGCGGGAACTACGAGTCCCGGCAGCCTTTGCGAGAGCGGCTGCTCTTTTTTTCCACCCCCCCTCCCACTCTTGGACAGCGCCGGGCTCCGGGTATTGCAGGTCCGGTGGGGGGGGGCGGGGGGTTTGCAAAGGCTCGGCGGGGGCTCCCTCGGTCTTAGCCCGGCGCTCCCCGGCTTTGCAACCTGCCGCCCGCGTGCGCAGTGCTCGCAAGGCAGAGGGGCGGCGGCAGGAACGGGGGGGGGGCAACGGGTGCTGGGCGGGGCGGGGATGGCTGCGGGGAGGTCTACGTCCTTGCAAGCACTGGGGCGGGTGGGGGGCGCTGCTGGGAGGGATGCACCAAAGGGAGGGGCGGCGTCCCACTTGGAAAGAGGGGAGGGGGCTTTGCTGAACCAGAGTTCTCCTTTGCAGAAGGCCCCTCGGATCCGTCTCTCTGCGGGCATCGCCAGAAGAGGGGGGGGTCTGCCCAGAAGTCCCCAAAGGAGGAGAGGTCGCCGCCCCCCCACGTCCCACCCACAAGGTTGGCAATCACCCCCCTCCTCTAGAATTGAAGGTTAAATGAGGGTTTTGGACGACCGGGGACCCCCTCAGCTGCTGGGGACCCCAGCCCTAATTGCCTCGGGGTGGGGGCGGGTGGAGCCTTGCTTAAAGTCGCCCCTTCATGCTCCTGCCTCTCAGGAAGGGGAGCTAAAGTACAAGGGGAGGGGTCTCAAATGGAGAAAGTGCACCAAAAGACTCCCCAAAAGTCTCCACTATCTTGGGGCATGCGGGTAGGATGAAAAGCTGGCTGGGGAATTCTGGGAGTTGAAGTCCAGTTTGGAGACCCCTGGAGTAGTGAATTGACTTTGCAACTGGCCGTAGCAGATCTCAACAAGTTTCTGTATCTTGCACCCTTTCCGGTGTGACTTCGGCCCGTCCAGGGTTGTTGGGGTGGAGCACCAGTTCCCAGAATCCCCAACCCGCATGGGAGGCCTAGTCAGGAGGGGCTACAGATTGGGGAGCCAGGTTGCCTCAGATCAGCGTTTCTTGAACCTTGGCAACTTAGAGGGAGGGGCTTCCACCCCCGGACTTCAAGAAGAATACCGTACTTATTTCAAGTCATTTTTTAAAAAGTGAGATGGGCAACATATAAACCTGATAAAACTCACAATTAAAGCGGGCAAGCTTGAAAACGGCTGCCTTCGACGGTTGTACTCTGGGTTGTGTTCATAATCGTTTTAATTATTGATTAAAATTAAAGAGGCAGCAAAACACAAAGATAACAGTAATGGGGGTACAGACATTATCAAACAGACAGGGAGAAAAAGGATTCCTAAAAATGTTTAACGAGGAAGTGAAGGAAATATCAGCAAGAAAAAAAATGATGTAAATATCATACAGATGTATTAGAAATTTGTACATTTTGGAATAATATTTGCAGTAGACAATTTTGTGTATCTGTCAGGAATGCAGTAGGGTCCCCTGCCTGGGCGGGAGTTGGACTGGATGGCCTACAAGGTTTCTTCCGAATCTGTTCATCTGTGTAGAGTTGTACCTGTTTACAGTCTCTTCGATTTGATCGGTTTTGTGGCCTCTCTTCCCCAAAGGGGGGGCAGCAAGACCCCCACCACTCATACCAGTGTCCTGGTGAGCATCTGGCAACCCTGGACTCCCCCCCGGACTGTGGGACCTGGATGGACACCTCGGAGACCAACAGCACGACGGAGGAGGAAGAGGAGAAAATGGCGGCCGAGCAGCGTCCCAGAACTCGGTCCAACCCGGAGGGGGCCGAAGACCGGACCCTCAGCATGCAGGCCAGTGTGGGGAGCCGGAGCGAAGGGGAGGGGGAGGCGGCCAGCACCGCTACCAGCCCCCCCAGTGCTGCCGTCCAGGCCCCCAACGGCAAGACCTGGCTGGCTCCAACCCCTCCCTCCGAGTTCCAGGTCCGGACCCCACGGGTGAACTGCCCAGAGAAAGTGGTGAGTACAGACACACACACACCCCGTCCAGACCCCCAGACCCCTTCCCAGCTCCTACGGCTTTCTTCCCTGAAAATAAGACCCACCTGGAAAATAAGCCCTAGCCTGATTTTTCAGGAGGCTTGTAACATAAGTCCCTCTCCCAAACAAGCCCCAGTTTTAGATTATCAGCCATTTAGTACCGTATTTCCCCCAAAATAAGACCTAACCGGAAACTAAGCACCTTTTGGAGCAAAAATGAACATAAGACCCGGTCTTTTTTTCGGGGAAACCCGGCATTTCCCCCCCGCCCCCCATTCCATTTTTCCCTTTCTCTTTATCCGCCTCCCCTTAACGAGATCTCCAATTGGCCAGAGATTCATCCTTTGGGAGGAGAGAGGTCGCAAAATGTGCCTCACTGCTTCGAACCATTAAAGCAGCTCCCTCCTTAGGACATCTCAGCATGGCAGCACATGGAGTTCGTGTGTGTGTGCGTGTGTCTGTCTGTCTGTCTGTCTGTCTGTCTGTCTGTATACTGGCACATGCAGCGTGTTTGAAATCAAGAGGTTCCCCCCAAGGAGGCAGCTGCTTTAATGGGTCCCAGGAAGGACGCTTTGCTGAGGGAAAGAGGCTGTGTGAAGCCCTTTTGCAGATGCGTCTTGTATTACGTGGGGTCCTTCTTGCTCTCTGGGGGGGGGTGTCTTTCCTTGCAGACCCTTCCTCTTCGAACGAGGCAACGGATGAATGAATGCTGTCCGTTATATCCCTGATGGTTAGAATAACGCCTAGTGGTCAGAGCGGCGTTTCTCCGCCCTGGCAGCCTGAAGGGATGTGTGCTTCAGGATTCCCCAGCCGCGCATCTTACGAGCTACCGGGGTTGGGAAACGCTGGTTGAAAGGACGGTTGATCGGACTGATGGCTGGACTAGAAGACCTCCCGGGTCCCTTCCAGCTCCATTCTGATCGATCGATCGGTTGCACGAGAGCGAGGAAAGGGCCAAGCGTAAAGTTGCACAGGGAGGAAGACGTAATTGAGGCAGAGGCCACTCAAAAGAGAGCCGGGAGAATGACGGTTCGGAGAGAGCCAAGGAAAGGCCGGGGGCCTTGAGTGAAAGTTTAAAGGGAGGTGGGTGAACAGGGTTCAACTGGGACCCCCAGCAGAGGAGGGGAGTCCATTGGAGCAGTGGGGGGGGGGTTGAAACAAGCAGGGAAGAAGCTCAAATGAGGCTTTGAGGGAGGGGGGAGCTCTTGGGTTCTCTCTCTCTCTCTCCCCTTTGCATCCTATTATTTCTCTCCCCCCCCCCCCCCAAAAAAAAATATATATGCAGGTCTGACTTGACTTACGACCCCAGGCCTGGCCAGAATCTCCATTGCTGAGCCAGAGGGTTCTTAAGCGAGTAGAGGCCAATTTTAAAAACTCCCCTGCCACCACCTTTAAGCCAATGGCTGGCATCATTCAGTGGATCCCTGGGAATCCTGCAGGGACCGTAGATACCTTGCCAGTTGCCAGGCGACTGAATTTGGATCCCTGGGGGAAGCGGTGGCCCTCAAAGGTTGTAAGTCATTTGTAACTTGAAATAAATTGTGGATTATGAGTAACCAAGATGGAAAGATGTGTGGGAATTTATTTATCCCTATAGAATAGAATTCTTTATTGGCCAAGTGTGACTGGACACACAAGGAATTTGTCTTGGTGCAAATCCTCTCAGTGTACGTAAAAGAAAAGAGACTTCGGTCAAGAGTCGAGAATCATCAGGCACAACACTTAATAATAGTCATTGGGTACAATAAGTAATCAAATCATATCAGGAAACAGTCAATATAAATTGTAAGGATACTAGCGACAGTTACAGCCATACAAGTGGGAGGGGATGGGCGATAAGGAGTGATGGGAAGATTGACAGTAATAGTAGTGCAGACGTTGTAAATAGTTGGACAGTGCTGAGGGAATTATTTCTTTAGCGGAGTGATGGCGTTGGGGAAAAAACCCTCCTTGTGTCTAGTTGTTCTGGTGTGCAGGGCTCTATAGCGTTGTTTTGAGGGAAGGAGTTGAAACTGTTTATGTCCGGGATGTGAGGGGTCTGTAGATATTTTCACAACCCTCTTTTTGACTTGTGCAGGATTCAGGTCCTTCATTGAAGGCAGGTTGGTAGTAATTGCTATTTTCTGCAGTCCTAATTCCTTTCTGGAGTCTGTGTCTGTCCTGTTGGGTTGCAGACCCAAACCAGACCATTATAGAGGTGCAGATGACAGACTCGAGTCTTAATAATCTATCTTCATAAAAACGAAAAAAAAGGAAGGAAAACGGAGGGGGAAAAAAAGAACGTTTAAAAGACCTGAATAGATCCATGGAGATTGAAAGGAGTAAATCCCACCCAGGTTTCCTTTCCTTCCTTCCTCTGTCCCAGATCATCTGCCTGGACCTCTCGGAGGAAATGTCCCACCCGAGGCTGGAGTCCTTCAACGGGTGAGCCGGGATCCCTCCCTTAGCCGGAGGGGTCTTTTTTTGGGGGGGGGGGTTTGCTGAGGGCCCTTGGCTGGCTTCCTGGGGCCCAGCAAAGCAGATCCACCTGGGGTGAGAGACGCTGCCGTCTCCGGCTTTGAAGAGTGGCTGGCCGGGCACGGAGGACAAACCAGGATGGCCTTTGGGTCCTTGCTGTAGCTGCCCCGGCTTCAGGCACAAGGGGGCATCCCAGCCTCTCCTGGGGGTGCTACAAAGGCCTGCAGTCAGGATTCTAGTCCTCTTGGCTGCACAGAAAGGAGTTTGGGGGGTCTCCTCGTGAGGCAGGCCTTGTCCCCTCTGGAACCAGCCGCTTTCTTAGGTCTCTGGAGGTGGAAGAAGCCCGAGGCGTCTCTGCGGGGCTCCGAGACCTGCGTTTCCCTGGCGGTGCCTCATGGGCCTCCTCCTCCTCCTCCTCCTTCTCCTCCTCCTCCTCCCCCTGGCAGGCTGAAGACCAACGCCCTCAACATCTCCCAGAAGATGATCGAGATGTTTGTCCGCACCAAGCACAAGATCGACAAGAGCCACGAGTTTGCGCTAGTGGTGGTGAACAACGATGTCACTTGGGTGGGTACACTTGGAGGGGGTGTCTCCCACTGTCCCCCCCCCCCGTCAGGGTTCCAAGTAATAGATCCATAGCAAGCAGAACTCCGAGGCAGGGAGATTCCTCAAGGAAGAATCGCTTTACAGGGCGTGTCATATTGGCCCAGGTCTGGTGAAAACCGACTCTGAAGATTCCCGCGGTTTTCGCCCAACTCAAAGTGAGAGGCTTCCTTCTTTCTCAGAGCAGCTGGTCCCCTGGTCCAATCCCAGCTCTATCTATTGCCTGGCGGCATCAGTCCGCCTTCCTCCGGTCAGGTGTGAGGATGCCCTTGGTTCCCAAGAGAGACTATTTTGCTTTGACTACAAAATCCAAGCTGTCTCTATTCCCTGCTCCCTGACCCTCAGCGCCAGAGTGGCTCCAGCCAGGTCAGCTTCCTCTGCCTTCGCTGCCCTCTTTGCGCCCAGGCGGCCTGCTCAGAATGGAGCTGCCTGGGCATGTGTGCCCGCTGGTGCCCATCCGCCAAGGCTTCCCAGCGGTGACACCCGGGATTGTTTGGCTTTGGCCTGGCTTGCTTCCTGGAACCTGGGTCAGGCGGGTTTAGCATGGGGATTTTCCACCGCAGGGAAGTATTTGCAGCTGCCCTTCCCCAGCTGAGTCCACGGAGGTGGGAAACCCGCTTCACGCTGGGGCAGAGGCCGGACGCTCTGCAAACAGCTCCCGCTTTCTGGCTTTCACATATACCAGGTGGTCCTCGACTTATAGCAGATCCTTTTAGTGACCGTTCAAAGTTACAACGGCACCGGAAAAAGTTTGTGGGCGTTTCTCACACTTGGACCTTTTGCAGCCTCCCCATGGCCCTGTGCGCAAAACACTGGGCAGCTGACTCGTGTTTACGACAGTCACAGTGTCCTGGGGTTGTCCTGTGACCCCCCCCCCCCTTTTGCAACCTTCGGGCAAGCACAGTCAAGGGGGAAACCAGGTTCGCTTAGCAGCCAGGTGACTTGCTTATCAACTGCAATGATTTGCTTAACAACAGAGGTGAGAAAGGTCATAAAACGGGGCAGAACTCAAACGTCTCACTTAACAACCGAGGTTTGGGGCTCTGTTGTGGTCGTAAGCTGAGGACCCCTTATGCAGGAAATGCTCGGATTAGGACCGGTCGTTTGCCGCTTGTGATGATTCAGGTCCTCGGGGCTCTGAGGACCCAGCGTGCCCCCTCCCCTCCCCCACCGTCACACGATCGCATTTTGGGCGTCCGGCTGCTGACCGGCATGTTGGGCCGTTTGGGGGGGTCCCACCGATTTGCCACCTTTTCTGCAGAAACCGGAGTTTAATTCTGTTTTCCATCAAGAAGCGGGCATGGCCGATAGCGGATTCCTGGAACGGCTTTTACTTCACTTAAGGACTGCTGCTAAAGTCAACGTGGAGCGCAGTCACAGGGTGACTTGCTTAGTGGCCAACAGGACTTCGGAGCCTAATTCCAGGCTCGTTCGCTGTCATCAGCCAAGGGCTGCGTGGGATCCCTGTGGATCGCAGGGGATCCGTGCTCACGGCCTCCTCTTCCTCTCCGCAGCTCTCCGGCTTCACCTCCGAGCCCAGAGAGGTCTGCAGCTGCTTGTACGACCTGAAGACCACCCCGTGCAAATCCTTCAGTATCCTTTCCCAAGGGGGGCGGCAGGAGAAACGGGGGGGGGACATGAGGGGCGGTGGCCTCTGCTGGGGATCCCCCCAAATGAAGGAAAATCTCCTCATCCGATTTGGAGGAGAAAAACGGGGGGCGTTGATAAAAACCGGAGGGTTGCGGGTCCCTGGGTCCAGGGGCTCCTCCCCCCCCTGGGCGGGGGGGGGGGGGGGGGCGTTTGGCAAGGGCAGGCTCACTTTGCGGGACCCCTGGCAGAATTCGGATCTGGCCCCCTTTGCAGTTGAATTAGAATCGAACAAAGGGACCTTGGAGGTCTTCTAGTCCAGCCCCCTGCAAGGCCACCCTCAAGGGTGGAGAAAGGAGGGGCTCCAAACAGCCCCCCCTCCCCTTTGCTGGGATTGTCCAGGCAGTCCTCAATTTGCAACCCTCCTTTTAGTGACCGTTTGAACTTAACAACGGCACCGAAAAAGGACCGTTTTTCACACTTACAACCGCTGCAGCATCCCTGGGGGTCAACATTCAGATGCTTGGCCACTGACTCATACTTACCACGGTTGCAGGATCCTGGAGGTTTCATGTGACACTCCCCCCCCCCCCTTTTGCGACCTTCTGACAAACGAGAGTTGCTACTAACTTGATGGGCAGGAATGGTTGTAAAAACGGGGTCAGAGTCTCCTTTAATGACTGCCTCACTTAGCAATGGAAATGATGGTCATAGGTTGAGGATTATCCACTGGGGGTGGTTCTAGCGGGGGATCCTGGCATTGTGGACGCAGGTGGAGGTGTTATCTGAGTCAGAGGTCTCCAACAGTGGCTCCTTGAAGACGTGTGGACTTCAACTCCCAGAATTCCTCAGCCAGCAAAGAATGGCTGAGGAATTCTGGGAGTTGAAGTCCACCCGTCTTCAAGGAGCCACGGTTGGCGACTGCTCTCAATCCAGACATTGACCTCAACTTCTGCTGCTTAGATCTGGAAGGGCTTTTCAATCTGATGTGAGTCTTGGATCTTCACCCCCCTGGGGTCCTTGGTGGGGGTCTCCAAAGGTGGGGAGGACAGCCCCCCCCCCCTTGATGCTCCAGCCCTGCCCGGCAGCCCAAATATCGGTCGTTCTACGACTCAAAGGTTGGAGAAGGAAACGCTTGGAGACGCCGCTCAGAATCCAGGACCTTCCCTGTTAGGCTGCAGCCCAGCTGGTCCTTGACTTATGGTCATTGCTGTCCTCCAGCCGAAGGCCTCTGGTCCTCGGGACTGTGACAGCCGGGAGGGTTGGGGTGGGGGTCCTCCGGCCTGCACCCACCCCGCCTCGTCTGGTTCTCTCGACAGACAGCAGAAGACGGAGCTGCCGGTGACGGAGAACATCCAGACTATCCCGCCCCCCTACGTGGTCAGGACCATCTTGGTCTACAGCCGTCCTGCTTGCCAGCCGCCCGTGGTGGTGACCGACCAGATGAAGGTGCCTGCTTTTTTGACCTCACAAGTGCCCCCCTTCCTGGAGGGCGGCAGAGGAGGAGGGACACACAGTTTTCAGTGGTACCCCTGAGTCTTGGGTAGCGGGTCAGGGCTCCGGCAGTTACCTCCCATTTAAATCACGAGTCTCGAGCCAAACTTCCAAAACTTCCAAAGGATTTATTGGGAGTTAACATGTCCGGCACTGCCTGAGTGTAGCCGACTCCGAGACACATCGTTCACTGTCCCCCTTGACCCTGGTTTTCCCCGCACCCCCACCCCGCTGGGTGTATCCTAATCCATATTCTCCAATGGGACACACCCATCGCCCAGAGTCATCAGTCAGGTAGAATTTTACACGGCAGAAACTTCAGTCACCTAGAAACTATCTTTGAAAACATCGATGGAATGCACTTTCGGTTTGCAAGCTGCTGCGCTGCTCCCTCCTCCCTTTCCGTTGACCATAGAAATTGACGTAGGGCAGATCTTAGATCCCAGCAACCCCAGGAGACTGTAGAGCGGGACTCGTTGAGATCTGCAGCCATTGCTAGGAAGTAGGAGTAGTTTTCTGGCTCTCTTAGTGACCAGGGACTGCACTGCCCTACAACAGAGGTAGGCTGTCAGAACTCCAAGGCAGGCCTGTTCCTCAAAGTAGAGATTTACTAGCAGGATACTTGTGCTTCGCTACCAAACTATGGGGTTGGGCTTAGTTTTTGGGGAGGAAAGTAAGGGAGGAAAAATTGTGCCTCTGCCTCCCAGGATTCATCTGGCTAGCGTCCTGACAGCGCATGAGAGAGTTGAGGGCTGTTTGGAAACAGAAAGAGTATTTGCTGTGTGAGCAAGGAGACAGCAAGGAATCTGGGTGTGGCTTAGCTCAACTGTTCTGGATTAAAGCTGCTTGGGGCTGTGAAACGAACTCTCCTCTGCTTGGGTTTTGCGTTTGGAGCGGATTTCTTTCCAGGTGGGGAGGGGGAGTCGGACCCCTTAGCATCGTTACACGGTGAGTCCTGGAGCAGCAGCAGCTGTCTGACTAGGAAACGGGGGCTGAGGTTGGCCCCTTTGCCGTGCCGATAGTTTTGAGTCTTTCTTCCAGGGAGTGAATGAGAGCCTCTTAAGACAGGGGTCTCCAACCTGGGCCCCTTTTAAGCCTGGCGGACTTCAAGTCCCAGAATTCCCCAGGCAGCAAGGCCGCCAGGCTTAAAGGGGCCACGGCTGGAGACCCCTGCGCTAAGAAGACAGCCGGGAGAGGCCATTGGGTTGGATTGAAGAGGCAAAACGTTAAGGCCCCTCAAAAGGAAAGGGACCCCCCCCCCCCGGCTGGCTGGGGAGGGGAGGACGGGCGGAGAGCCTCTTGCCCTCCTGACCGCCTCTCCGGCCCCACAGAAAATGCTCCAGTGCCCCTACTTCTTCTTCGATGTGCTCTACATCCACAACGGGGCTGAGGACAAGGAGGAGGAGGTCACCTGGAAGGTAAATCCAGACCCCCTGGGGTCTCGTTTATTTCCCCTTCATTCTCCCCCAAGGGACGCTTTCGACCAGGGGTCCCCAACCGGGGCCCCTTGAAGGCTGGTGGACTTCAACTCCCAGCATCCCCCCCTCCCCCCCAACGAGCTATAGAGATACATTGAAAAATGGCCCCGCTTTCTTTAAAGCGTGTGTGTGTGTGTGTGTGTGTGTAGACTTTTGACACACCCATCTGGGGACCTTTGCCCTTTGCGTTTTTCTTCTTGTCTTTCTATTCCCTTCCTTCCTTCCTCTCTCTCTCTCTCTCTCTCTCTCGTTTTCCCTTCCTTCCTTTTTATTTTCCTTCCTTCCTTTTCTTTTTTCCCTTCCTTCCTCTTCTTTTTATTTTCATTCATTTCTTCCTATTTTTATTTTTATTTCCTTCCTTCTCTTTCCTTCTTTCTTTCATATTTATTTATATTTATTTTATTCACCTTCTCTCCTTTTCTCTTTCTTATCCTTTTCTTTTTTCCTCTCTTTCCTTCTTCCTTCATTCCTTCCTCTCTCTTTTCATTTTCATTACTTCCTTTCCTCCCCTTCCTTCTTTCCCCCCTTCCTTCCTTCCTTCCTCCTTTCCTTCTTCCTTCCTTCCTTCCTTCCTTCCTTCCTTCCTTCCTTCCTTCCTT